TCATTGTTCACTTACGACATTTTTCATTTTCTGATGCAAATGCTTGTGTGAAAACGATTTGTTGTAAAATGACGATAAAGAAAATAGTCGATATATTGAGCCAAATTCAGGATTAAAAACAGAACTTACGACATTTTTCATGGGCAAGCAGTTTTTTTTTAAACTACGAGGGTATTTCACTGTGTGATGACACCCCCCCCCCTCCCCGCTCTCTTTCTGTGTCTATCCCTCCCCCTCTCCAACTCCCACACACATTCAAACACTCACCTCCGTCATGGCGGTCCCACCAAACAGACGGTTATAAAGTGCGCCCGCCCGTCCTGACACCGTGTTTTGTTTTGCATCATAATTATTATGACGTGTTTATGGCGTTGACCGTGCCGTTTTTCTGGGGAAGTAATGAAAATTCATACGCGTAAAGAAGGAGACCACGCACATCATAAAAGAAAAAAACTAACTTTTTCAAACACGAGTTTTGAACATACAATTTTATAAGATTTAGGAATACTTGCTATTCAGTACTGAAACGGAGGTACTGTCAACGTTTACATGAGTGATTTTCCTGTAAATCCCTTATTGAAAGGCGCTGGGACTGGTAAAAGGGGGGGGGGGTCTTAGCTGCCCATTTCCTACCCCCACCGTCAGCTCCGTTTGTTTACATTCCAGGGGTGCTTCACGCGAATTCTAGTGACTATGGCCGATGTAAACAAACAACGGAGTGGTGCGGGCGTAGCGGAGCGCGTCGTGGTGCGGCGGGCGGGGAACGCGGCTAGAGTGAAAGTCCAGGCCAATCAACGAGCAATCGATGCGAAGGCGTGATATCTCGCACTTTTCACAACCGCACAGACGTGCCTTAGATTCTCGGTTGAAAAAGTTATACACTGGAAAATGATAGGCTTGATTTCACTCTCACTTCATCTTTTCAGACCGGACGTCTCGGAGACAAAGTTTCTTTGTGCCAGGTTTCGTCGAAGAGTATGAACGGTAAAAACAATGTCTGATTATTTTTTTTGAGGAAAAAGGGAGCACATTCCCCCACATTCGAGGAAACACTCTTCAAACTTTTTAGTAGTTTTTCTCAGAAAATATGGGAATTTTCCGGATTGTTTGGAAATTAATATTTCCTTAACAGCTGCTTAGGAGTGTTTCTCAAAATGTAAGAGTTTTCAAAGTTTTCCCCATTTTCTCAAAAAATCAGATATTGGTTTTACCTTGGTACACTCTCAGACCTGCTGTGCTGATTTCTTCATTTGTGAATACTTACGTTTTTACGCAGCAGGGCTCACTGTTCATGTTGACGTCCCCTTGATACACACGAGGCACTCGGCCTATTCATTTAAAGGTTTAATCACTAATTCGTTCAAGTCAATAACCTGTTATCACGGTTTAATAACGATGAAAATCAGCTAATAATGTAACTAAGCATAACAATATGTCAAATGCCACGTAAACAGCAGAATGGAGGCTGGTTATAACGCGTAAATATTGAAAGAACTCGCACACTTCTTTCGCGAGTGATTTCCCCTTTATGGTGGTGATCTCGGATGCAGCATCAGTCCGTTCTCACTGCTCTCGGACCAGATGCTGTATTGTTTTATCTCGAGGTGTGGCGGTGGGCCGATCAGCAGGGTCGGGTCGCGTCGGGTCGCTCTGCAAAACAAGCACGAGTGGTCCTGGAGTGAGTGCCCCGACGCTCCGTCCTCGGGGTCCACACAGGCTCGGCGCAGGTCCTCGGCAGGTCGACCGACCCGGTCGACATGACTCCGTAATTCGGTGGTCCCCGCACTGGTCGTGTCCGCCTGTACGCCTGTAAGAGCAGATAATAAAGCGCGCCCCTGCTGCCCTGAGAACCCACCCGGTGCGCCTTTCCCAAACAGTCCGTGTTGTGCGTGCTGGCTGGCGTATGGTTGGTAAAAGTCGCACTGGTGAAACAAAGGCAGAACTTCGCACCTCGAGCTGGCACTAACGCTTCGAGGACACCTTTAGAAAGGCTTTAAAGAGACCTCGTGAAACGCACGAAAATGTTGCACTTTTGAAGCGCGACAACCATAAGCTTGAAAATTATATATTTCAGGTCCACACAAAGTGCTCTGAAAAGCTGCTTGATAAAGCAAACAACTGGATTTCCACGTGCACTATCGCCTTTCCTGTCACCCTGCAATCATTGTGCAAGTGCACTTGTGTTTCATTATTTGAATTTTGAAAAGTGTTTTACAGTGAATTTGAAAGCCTAAGAGTGGTAACTGCAGGCTTGGCATGGTTGGCCATGCAGCTTTGGAGTTTTAAGGTGTTCAAATTTATTGCTGCAATTATTTCTAAGTTTTCTATTTTCCAAGTCCACCACCTAACAGTGTGGACCAATGACGTGAATAGTATCTCATGTGCGTACCAGTTGCACACTTTTGTTACCAATGATGTTGAGAGGTGATACATAGCTTAAGAGGCGTCAGTAACTTATAAAATTCCGGTGTCAACTAGTCTGGCTATATGACTTATATCTTGAGCATTTCACTATGGTATGTCGTTTTTTATGCATAACTAAACGCGCTCTGTTAAAACAGACCTCGACACTTAAAATTACATTGACCTCCAGGTAAACGAACTCATTTTCCAGAACACCACGTCCTTCAATTTTGTACCCTCCAAGCCGATACGTTTCCGATCGAGCATTTTCGTCCTGACCCTCCCCTCTCGTGTGTGTGCATGTGTGTGCTTGTACATGTGCTACTGTTTGCTGCCGCCCGATTGAAATATAACAGTAGTGGAACGAGCCGCGAGCTCCAGAGCGCAGCTCGGGGCGCAGACAGGAGGGGAGTGATCAACTGCGCACTTAACCAAGCGAGCCGTTTCGTAAATAAAGCCTGTTTCCGAAATAGAAACACGCACTGGAGCACACATACCCCCTTTAGTTCCCCTTCCGATTTGTTTTATTCGTGTTTTGTCCCGTGATGTGTTGGGCTTATTGCGCGCGAGCTTTTACAAAGCGTTAAAGTAATCGGCCCTGCGTACGGGCGGCATGTATGCGGTCTCAGAGAGTAACGTCCACCTGGATGAGTGCTTAAAGGAGAGAGAGAGAGAGGGAGAGAGAGAGGGAGAGAGAGGGGGAGGGGGGGGGGCTGGGAGGAGGCAAAGGGTAGGCGGCAGAGAGAGAAAGAGCAAAGCACAGTAGAGAGGAGACTAACTGGCGACCGAGATAGAGGCAGATATATATTTCGGGCGCAAATTGATTGGCGTGTCACTTGCCCCGCGATCTCTGTCGCCATTGTTTTTCGTGAGATTTACCGGTTTTCTTTCCTTTGGTTCGGCGTGCTTTGCCGCGCCGCACTGCCCCCCACCCCCTTTCCGTCCCCTTCCCTCAAAAAAACACGTCCCCGGCCATAGGGGGACGCGAAGGCGACGCGAGGCGTCTTCGCCGCCGTCGCGCCGTCGTCGTCCCGTCGCGCAAGGCCGCCGGCGTAGGGTCGGTCACCACCGTCACCATCGTGCGTTACTCCACCTATAATGCCCCCTTCCCCGAAAGCGAAAATATTGCGGTGTATACCTTCCTTTCCGAAGCGTGCAATAGCCGGCCCGTATCGTACTACTAATACGTACACAGCAAGGGGAGGAGGCGCTGCCATTTGACGTATCTCCTACATCGCCGCCTGCAAATTTGTTCCCCGAGTAAAGGAGGACTGCGGCGGCGCGTCTGGGGCCACCGCGTCCGGTTCGGTGTGTGAGAGTGTGTTGGGAGGGAGGGGGGGGGGAGCGACACTATCTCGTGTCGCGCTAATCGGGCGGCAGATGGCGCGCACGACGCAGGTGACACGCCGGTATTAATTCGGCCGGAGCGCGCAGCCGCGATCAGTCCGACCGTTAATGACCGCGCCTCAGTTTGATTCACTCGATTTATCACCACAAGGAGGAGGCGGGGTGGGGCGGGGCTCCTTCACATAAGCGGGCCTCAGTGTCGGTAGTAGCTCTGCCTCGGACCACGCGCGACTCCCTGAGTTTGGTTGAACCTTTGTTTTGTTTCGTCTTCGCGGGTTGTTTTCATTGTAGTTGTTGAAAGTGTCCGAATTTGGGAGAAATTAAATGACTGAATACGGGAAGAAAGATTTCTCTACATTTATGAAGTACCGGCCAGTTGCGCCCGGAACATGGCAAAAACCACAAATCGGATTTTCTATGTGATATTTGAAGAACTTAGAGCTGTCAACAAAATTACTACCTCTCGAATCCTTAACGTACTGGGCCGACGGGCCAGATTTTTTGCGTGCCGTATGACAATTGGTTTTCAGTCACATGTTCATGTATAACGTGCAGGAAACAGAATGATCTGTTGGGCTGCTAGGGCTAATCCTTGTTCCGAGTGTGCCGCACGCCGTCGACTCGATGGCGCCGTCATTGCTCTGCTCCCGCAGGCCGCACGCGGGCGAAGCAACAGGTAACGGCGTGGCGCAGCTTGGCGGGGCGTGGCGGGGCGGGGCGGGGCGTAGCGGGGCGCGATGTCCTCTGGCGGTCCAATCGGTCGATAGGAATTCGGGCGATACGTGGAATGTGGTGCGGAGTGTCGCCGGCAGGACCCGCCTGGCCGGCCGGGCCGCGGCACGTCGCGGGGCCAAACTGGGCCAGGCCGGCCGAGGCAGGCGGCAGGACAGGACCGAGGCTCGTCTTGCAGAAGTGCTGACCGGGCCGGCCGGGTGGGCGGGCAGAGGACGCCGCGCGGAGGCCCGGCGGCAAGCTTTTAATCCAATTTAGTTTGTTATCCGTCCCAAATTTGATGAGGAGGAATGCCTCCTCCGGCAGTGCCCCCATAAATCGCGCAGGGTCGACGATTGTCGGCGGACGGCTGGATGGGAGTCGACGCGACGCGGTTGGTAGAGTCCTCGGAGACACGAGGAGGGTTTTAACTCATGAGATGAGAGCATCGCGGAGCTTGATTCTTCGCGTTTCGGTTGTGTCTTACTCCAAGTCACCACAGAGCTCCCCGCCTGACCAGCCCTTCCGTTTTGTTGCAGTTCAATGTCCAGCGGCCGCTGGAGCAGCCGGCCTCGTCCCTCGGAGAGTCGTCGTCGGCCACGTCTGCCGGCGCCAGCAGCGCCGCCGGCAGCGGGGGCGGCTCCGGAGGCGGCTCCGGGGGCGGCTCCGGCTACCTGGGACTGCCCCACCACCCCCCTTCCTCCGTGGGCTCCGTGTCCTCGGGGGGCGGCGGCGTGGGCAGCCCCGGCTCTCCGCCCCTGTCCGCACCCTCCCTGCCGCGCCACAAGGAGGAGGACAGTGGCGGGCCCAGAAGTGCAGAGGGTGAGTGTTGCACCGTGTCCGCCCTCGCACTCACCCGAGGACACCACGCACCACGTCAAGGCCGTCGGCTCGCAGGTGGGGTGGCCGACGACGAGGACGCCGAGCCGCTGCACGCCGTGGACCTGGACTCGAGCAGAGACTCGGCACACGGCCACGCACAGTACCTGTCCGCCAACTGCGTCGTCTTCACGCACTACAGCGGGGACGCGGCGGCCGTGGTGGACGAGCACTTCAGCCGCGCCCTGGCCTACGCGGACAGCAAGGCCGCGGTGCAGGGGAAAGGTGAGTTGACGACAGAGGGTGCGTGTCGCGTTAGCGTGTGGGGATGGTAGTGTCGCCACAACATCACGCCCCGTATAGGGTGTACGCTCGGATAGTCCTCCTGGTGCCCAGGTGTGCGGCTGGTCCCAAAACTGCACGGCTCGGTGGCGGCCCGGGCCTCCCGGGTCCCACCCCAGTCCCACCCCAGCCTTTCGCACGCCCCATCGCACAACCCCATCCTCGGCGGCACATCCTTCCGCCCGCCCCCGCCCCGGCCCGCTCCGTTGCCTTTACTTGACCCGCTTTTCCTGGCGCCGCGCTTTTCGAGCCAAACAGCGTACACCGTGTGTCAGGGCTACGACCCAACAGGGTTGAGGGTTTGCATACCCTAGCAGGAGACGCCATGGCGCCTTACGGGTGGAGCGAGTAGGCCAACCCGCTGGCTGAACTACTTTAAACCTTAAAGTAAAGTCCAGAAATTTTCCAACTGTTGAAGCAATCGTTTGATGTGAAATTGTCGTGAATTTCGATACCCACATCAGAGCACCGAAGAAAAATCGTCTCCCTCACTGCGCTGTGCATTCTTTCGGTGCTCCACAGCACCGCGTGCCCCTTCTGCGTGCGCCACAGCTGTGGGGGTCAGCGGGTCAAACCAGGGCGAAGGGGGCGGGCGGGGCGAGCTGGGGGAGCAGTTAGTAGGAGCCCCGAGAGGAGCCCCCAACCTCGAGAAGAAGACCCGCTATCCCACCGCTGAAATGAACTCCTTGGCTCTGGAGGACAATGTCGGGAGGAAGGTGTTAATGTGGAACAAAGAGGCGCTAGTACGAGAGGCCCCCAAATGAACAGGGCGTGGAAGGGAGAGCTGGGGGGGCTTTCACAGGCAAGTCGGCCAGGAGGAGTAGTTTTAATTAGGAGAAGGTCCCCGTATTTGCTAATGGAGGCTGGGGAGGAGGGGGCTGCGCAGCCTGCTCGGCTGCCTCTCGGCTGCCTTGCCTTAGAGCGCCCCAGCCAGCAGCAGCCCCAGGGAGGAGTTGCCGGGTGACAAGCAATTCCCCTTCAGTCCCCGAGTCGGAGCGGCGGGGCGAGCGGAGAGGGCAGGGGAGGGCGACCAGGCAGCTCCTCGAAGGTATTAAATCACCACGGAGAGGCAGAGAGGCTGGGGCGTCGCTCATTCCGCCTCCCCGAATCTGCAAGTCCGGCTGCCTGGAGAATGCTGAATGAGAGGCGGCAATGAAGACTGCGCGAGGCGCGAGGCGCTCGGGGGTGGAGCACCGGCGAGGGGAGGGACTGGGGACTGGGAAGAGCAGCAGGGATAGTGACCGGGAGAGCCGGATAGAGTGCCGCGACATCTGCACAGGGAAAAAGCTGCAGAAGCACGCCCGTGCAAGACCTCGGGACAGGGGAAGGGGTATGTGGAAAGCGGGATGTGGGACAGAGAGAGAGAGGGGGGGGGAGGGGGGCAGACGGAGAGAGACAGAGAGGGAGGGAGAGAGAGAGCTCTCTTGTCGAATGCGGCGCGAATATAAGGTGCTCGACGCCTTCGAGCCAAATCGGAGACAGTATCGGCCGCGCCATCTCCGCGCCGAGTATAACAAATCGCCATGCAGGCTGCTACGCCTGAATACAATGCGGGCCGTGGGCCTCGGCGGGAGCTTCGCTCGGAGCTTCGTGGGCCGCCGCCGTGCCGTCCTTGCGCCCTTGTCTGACGACCGGCCTGGAGGGGGGGGGGGGGAATCAGAGGCCCGGAGGCACTTCTGCTGGATGTGCTCTTCAACCCGCCGTCAGTCGTTTCATTCCTTGACCCACCCATGTCATCGAAAAGGTTTCCAAAAATGGTGTCGTTTTGCGGTAATCCTCGTGTTGTCTCGAAGATCTTTTCGATGCTCTCAGTAAATGCATTTACGCTCCCGCCTTCTCCCGGGCAAGCTCGATACAACTTTCCCCACACCGGCATCGGACAGTCAGATGAAGCGGAGAGGGGGAAAGGATGGCGTAGGGGGGAGCGGGCTCTTTCCCGTTCTGATTCCATGTTTGAGTCGTATTTGTCCTTGTCATGCTTTTATCAGATCGTCTTCCTCGCTTCCACGCTTTGGTCGTCCTATTCCTCACGTCAAAACATTGTTACGTGCTCACCAGTGAACTCCCCCAATTGATAAAAGTCGTTTATACCTCCACCTTTCAAATTGTTCAAACCACCGGCAAACTTTTCTTTTTCCTTTCTTGTAAAATATTTCGAATGGATGCTTGCTGCAGTCCCCTTGGCTCAGACGCTTCCTCTTTTGTCGCGCCACCCTCTCCTTGAACTGGGCGCCCCCGCGTCCCCCTCTCCTTCCTTCCCCGAGCTTGGTGAAGCAGTCTGCAGAGCGGATCCCATTTTGGCCACGCGGGGCGAGGCGCGGCGCGGGGGGCGGGACCGCCAGCCGGTCCTTTTGTTGTCCGCCGTTGTGCCCCTCTCACCCCGCCCCTCTCCCGCTCTCCAGCGGTGGCTGGGGCCCTGGTCGGGCCATGCCCGGGGCCCGGGCCACTCCGTGGGAACAAAGCGACTAATTTATTGCTAGCACAGCGGCGACAAGCCCCGGGGCACAGCCGGGAACAGCCGGGCACTGCCGGGCATGGCGGCGTATCAGCCTCTATCGGCCGAGTCCCCCGCCGAACCCTTTGAGAACTCCTCTGACGGCCCGGGTAACTCTCGCGAAGGACCACTGGGGGGTGGTGGTGGTG